TATATTAATATATATATATATATATATATGATACATACATGTATCGGATATATAAGCTCAGAACAGTATATCTAAACTTCTAACATACAGGATCGTAGTGGTGGATATTACCAGCTCTCAACTTGCGAAGCAGACCATGAATTTTAGAGAGAGAGAAAATTGTAACACGCATTTGTCCGTTTATCCATAGCACACCCAAAACCCATACCGTAAACGACGGGCCGCTTATGTCCTCAATCCGCACGCACTGCAGCACAGAGCGGTAGAACTTGAAGGTGGTCTCTGTCTTGATGGGGTCGTTGGGGTCAATGCCTGGCAGTGACAGCATCAGCAGATTGACCAAATGCTCACCCCCCGACGGATAGACCGATTTACTGCACTTAGGAACAATGCGAGATGACCGTTAGTAAACCTTAAAACTCAAAACCCTAAAACACATTACCCCTAAAATCCAAAAGCAATGCTGGACGTTAGTGTACGCCCACAGGATAAGCCAGGGATATTGACCATATTAGTAAACCCTAAAACCCTGAAGCAATGATGAATTCTAAAACCCCACCCCAAACCACGAAAGCAATGCTGGACGTTGGTATATGTGCACATACTATGCACATGTCCTACTACCGTTAGTGTACGTGCGCACATATGTCATATGAAGAACTATTCTGATGGACCAGAGAGGTAGGAAACACCCTTATTCCTAAAACCCAGCACATCACACAGCACATAGGGTGGTAAACCTAAAACCCTAAAAACTTACGAAAAACATAACACCAACACACGAAAAACCATACCTAAGTAACGGCCTGGCCACAAAGCACAGACAGCCCAAAGCCGCGAGTGTCTGGTGAGACTCAGTAAGCGTCTGTAGTGCAGGATACACACTCTCCAACAACTGCGGCAGAATAGCCTCAGGACAGATGTACGCCAACAGCTTATGGGCCAAGGCAGAGGTCATGACCATACTATGCGACTTAGAGAAGAGAGCCGGTACTAAAACAGGCGACATACTACACACAACAAACAAACGAACGAACGAACGCAGGAAGGAAAGAGGGAGAGAGGTGGGGGAGGTCAGAGATATACATACGAAACCCTAAACCCTCGGTGCAGGAGGTCAGGGACATAGATATAGCGGACAAGCGACACGACGCTTCAGTAGGAAAGCGGTGGGGTGGGCGTATCAGCAACTGAAGGAACGAGAGATGAGGGGTGGACAGGCGAACATCAACCAGTGGCACATTATACACTGGAACGAAACTAACCCTTTAAGCCTAGCACAGTAACACTCTTCAATCTATAAACCCTAAACAGCCCTACAACACCAGCACAGTACGCAAACAACCACTCTCACAAACCCTAAAACCCCCAAAAACCCTAAGCAGTCCTACCAGTCCGCAAAAGCCTTGCGCTGGGGGTCTTGCAGGCGCAGGTGGGGTGGGGTAGGGCACTGTGGCTTTCGCTCCTTCTTCAGCCGATCGCACACCTCAGAGCACAGACAATACAGCACCTGCGCCAGACGACCCTGCCAGGCGCCACTGTTGGAGGGGTGGAAGAAGGACTCGGTAGCACGCAGCAGCGCACGCAGCAGCTCAATGACACGGCCTGGCAGAACGGGGCATGGGGGGAAATGGGACATGGGCGGTCCAAAAAGTATGGAATAGGTTCAAAAAGTATGGAATAGGTCCAAAAAAGTATGGAATAGGGCAAGGGCATAGAAGGGGTGCGTAAAAGGATGATTTATAGAATATTGCAATCCAGGTTTTTATCTTGAATGTACCTTCAGGCGAGAGCAGCCATGCCACGATGGCACACATGCGTTTGATTGTGTGCTGTCCTTCCCCGTCTGGTAATAGCAACACCTGCACCAACAGAACACACATAAAGGATTAACATCCACTGCAACATGCGCAAACCAGCAACATCCTCCATAACATGTACAGCGCATTGCATGTGTCATATTAGTTTTAGGGGTTAAAGGTTTTAAGAACAAAGCATTACATGGGTAATATTAGTTTTAGGGTTTTAAGAAAGTATTGTACGCGTCATGTTAGTAAACACGGAGTCACCTATTCCACAGACATCGGCAACAACGGACCGAAATAAAACAGATACATCGCACCACACAACACTTGAAGACGAGGCAGACATCACCAGCCGAAAACACTGGACTATCATCTGCATGAATTTAGAGGAAACAAACCCAAAAATTGTAAAACCATGACATCCTAAAACTCTCACAGCACAAATCACTAGAACCCTACAACACATTAAAACCCAAAAACCCTAAATGCTCCCACACACCTGTGCACCTGAAGACATTGCTGCGCGGTGGTCTTTTGGTGCGGCACTCGCACCCACAGGCAAGTTAAGTGATGACAAGAACTTATTAAACAGAAAGTCCAAATGAGGCTCAAGCAGCGCATGTACCTCAGCTGTGGGTTGGCCCTGCGATGGAGCCATGAATTGTATACATATGTGGAAAATTAGAAATGAATGTATATGAACCTACATGCATATATTATGGTGGTATAAATACACACATATACATACATACATATATCTACATACATGCATACATACAAACTTACATACATACATGCAAATATATATATATACATACATATATATATATATATATATATACATATACACACATATATATATATATATATGTGTGTGTGTGTGTGTGTGTGTACTCACTCAGACAACCACACGGCATCTCAGTATGTACACATACCGTGATACACTTATTATACACTATACGAACACATGTGCATAAATTAAAATAGACTAGCAATAGACTAGCAATTCAAACACTTATAATGATATCCACATAACATATACAAACGTAGTCATAAGCAGTAACCAGTGTATTTTCTACACATATATGTACCTTTAGGGTTTACAAAAACCCTAAACCGTAGAAACCCTAAACATCTGTGTACCTTGACCAGTCGCGCGATGAGTCTGAGCCACTGACCATTCCACGTGCTGACGTCATCGCGCACCCATCCCCACACATCAAACACCCAGTCCAACCACAGCTCATGGTGCGTGGGCTTTCCTTCGACGTGATTGGTGGGTAAAAATAGAACAAGCCACCCCTGGGCATCGAACAGCACCACGTCGTGTGGACAGAGTTTGGACTGGAACTCGTCCAAGATCTCACGCGTTGCGCTTTCGGGAAAGAACCGCCGCGCAGCCTCAACTAGCTTCACAATCGCTTCAATGGGTCAGTGCGAATGGGAAGAAGACAAACTGTGAGGACTGAGGGAATCTAAAACCCTAAAACCCTAAAACCACATACCGGTGGAGGGTGCCTACTGTAGTAGTACTGAGGAAATTGGGTGTGGGGTTGTACAATTGAGAGATGCAGAGTTGTCAGTTGCGCAGCGGAGAGTGACCAACTGATTGGAACAGATTAAAAAACATGCACACCACCTGCCATTGACATGTGATGTGACGTAAACGCAGGCGCTACTGGTGTCAACAGATGAGAAATCACAACACAGCACACACCCACGGACGACACCGCAGTATATGGCACCACAGACAACTTCCATTGCAAATTGCGCAAGGACTGAGCTCTACACCCAAGTACCAGGGACCAGGAATAAGACTAGGACTAGGACTTAAATTAAAACTAAATATGACTAGGACTAGAACTGAAACTAGAACTAGAACTATGACTAGTACTAAGACTAGGACTAGGACTAGGACTAGGACTAGAACTGAAACTAGAACTAGTGTTAGGACTACGACTAGGACTACGACTACGACTAGGACTCAAATTAAAACTAGATATGACTAGGACTAGAACTGAAACTAGAACTATGACTAGTACTAAGACTATGACTAGAACTGAAACTAGAACTAGAACTAGGACTAGTACTAAGACTAGGACTAGGACTAGAACTAGAACTAGGACTAGTACTAAGACTAGGACTAGGACTAGAACTAGAACTTAAACTAGAACTAGAACTAGTGTTAGGACTAGGACTAGGACTAGGACTCAAATTAAAACCAGATATGACTAGGACTAGAACTGAAACTAGAACTAGAACTATGACTAGTACTAGGACTAGGACCAGGACTAGGACTACGACTAGGACTAGGACTAGGACTAGAACTGAAACTAGAACTATGACTAGTACTAAGACTAGGACTAGAACTAGTGTTAGGACTAGGACTAGGACTAGAACTGAAACTAGAACTAGCGCTAGGACTAGGACTAGGACTAGGACTGGGACTAGGAAAAGAAATATAACTGAAACTGGAACTAGAACTAAGACTAGAACTGGAACTAGAACTAGGACTAAAACTAGGATAGGATTAAAACTAGGACTAGGATTAAAACTAGAATCAGAACTAGAACTGGAACTAGGACTAGAACAAGAACTGGACCTAGACACTCTGACCTACCACTGAGCTACATCTCCCTGACAATGGTACAATGACAGTTAGCAAAAGACCGGCACTGATAGAGTTTTAGGGTTTATACATGACACGGTTAAGCAGCTATTGTTATTGGTGCTCAGCACATGGCGTGGGTGGGTGATACCTGCGCCGTGTTTGTCACGTTGTACATATATGGTAGTCTCTGCCTGACCAAAGTAGATGGTACGCAGAATGTCGTACAGTGGTCGCCATGGCAACTCAATCAGATGCGACGATAAGGACTTTTTCTTTCTGCGGAGTATGCGGGAAAAACAGTGCAGGTGCGTTAACAGCGCGGCAGCACGCGAAAATATGTGCACAGACGAACACAACAATAGATCACACCGACACAGACTAACACGTCATGTAAAGAGACTAACACGTCATGTAAAGTGACTAACACGTCATGTAAAGAGACTAACACGTCATGTAAAGAGACTAATAAGTCAAGTAAAGAGACTAACACGTCATGTAAAGAGACTATCACGTCATGTAAAGTGATGACCACCCTAACACAACAGAAAATCAATACAAAACACTTACAAATCAAATAAACACACACAGCACAACCGACAACACATGACTGCGATGAGTACACAAAAAGCTCACGCAGCACCACTGACTTGCATTCCGTATGCGCCACACACTTTGAGGACACATGTGAATTCAAAGTCAAGACAACATCTCATTCCTTCGATTAAAACCCTATACGCTATAACCCTAGAACAATTGATGGAACGAGCGTGCACTATCATTCGATACACAACGTATCAATAGGCCCGTCCGGCTGTTGGTCGATCTGAATGTCACACAACACATACACTTCTCTTAAGCAAACAGGGCAGTGGCAAAGGAGAACTTACCCATGCGCATGCACGTATGGTCATCATAGGCATAAGCACCACAGACACTGTCTAAATCTCACTCACTAACACAGCCATATGACAGTCACATACACTCACGACCACAGCCAAATGAGTCGCATCCACTCACTAACACAACCAGATGAGTCACATACACTCACTAACATAGCCAGATGAGTCACATACACTCACTAACACAGCCAGATGAGTCACATACACTCACTAACACAGCCAGATGATTCACATACACTCACTAACACAACCAGATGAGCCACATACAGGATCAGTTTGGTCAGGGTGCGTGCAAAGCGCTCTTGCAGATTGAAGTCCAAATTAGGAATAGTCACGAGGCGGTACAGCAGACGCACCAACGGCACCATCTGTTCATGGCTCATGTTACGCTTATGTACCAGAATAAACCTGTAGATAGAAACAGAAGAAACAGGAGCAGCAGAGGGAAGGGGGGGTTAAGTCACACAAGGGAAAGACACTAACACACACACACATACATACATACATACATACATACATACACACACACATACAGAGTATGAACAGTACACACCAACCACCCGCACTAACACACACACAGATACAGAGTATGAACAGTACACACCAACCACCTGCACCAACCACCCAGCAGGAACATTACACACCATCCACATGCATTAAACCATACCCCATGGTCACCTCCACTCAACCGCTAGTGTGGGTCAATAATAACAGTTGCTGATTTCGTACGCCAACTGATAGTTGGGTGTGTGTGTGCGCGAGTGTTGTGCAGCGACTATGTGGCAGTGGGAGGGGGGGGGGGTTAATACAAACCCTAAACCCCTACCACACACAATGTGTGGTGAGACAAAGTGTCCGCAAGTGTTTGGCCTAAACCTCTAAAGCCTGAATCGGTATCCCCATTGTTGTGCGCTTAAACCCTAACTAGCTAAACCCCTAAACACTAGAACCTAAGGACAAATACGTTCGTCGTCTATGAATCACCGTGCATCTCCATACGAACATGCGCACCTTTTCTCATACAGCAGGGTACAGAATTGGACAGGTATCTGTCCTGTCCTGACGGCCCTGCACCACACAAATACTGGTGACACAGCAGACCCTAAAAACCCTAAATCTGGGCAGATCAAAAGTGTGCCACCAAACTCTAGAACTAAGAAATATATAATGAAACCTCAAAACTCAACAAAGACACTGAGCGAGGGCGTTGAGCAGCCCACCGCTGCATGGCGGACATTGCGACTCCAACAGCACCTAAACCCTAATATCCCACGCGATTATATGTGCCAGCCATTCAGACTCAGACGTGAACAAGCAAACGACACCGCACAAGCAAACCAGTCCACATAAACACTAAACACACACACACACACGCGCGCGCGCGCACCCCACATCACACCACAATAAGAATCCAACCAGCAGCACAAGTAGACGCACAGGTGGTGTTGGTGCATATTTGGCAGTGGTTGAGGCGTGCGTGTTGACATACTCGTTGAGGCGCTGCACCCAGAAAGTGGCACCTGGGCTGAGCTCACCCACCAGGACAGCATGGGACAGGCCATCGCACACACCCCGCAACTCCTCCTGTGGCTCATCTGCAAGACAACCCAAGAACACAGGGCAGTCAGCAAACCCCTACCCTACAACCCAAGACATGAGATAGACTACCACGCACTAGCACCGCACAGCAGTCAGCAAACCCCTACTCTACAACCCAAGACACGAGATAAACTACCACGCACTAGAACCACACAGCAGTCAGCAAACCCCTACTCTACAACCCAAGACATGAGATAAACTACCACACACTAGCACCGCACAGCAGTCAGCAAACCCCTACTCTACAATCCAAGGCATGAGATAAACTACCACGCACTAGCACCACACAGCAGTCAGCAAACCTATACTCTACTCTACAACCCAAGACATGAGATAAACTACCACGCACTAGCACCACAGAGCAGTAACGTGAGTCGAAGTGGCCAACGCTCACACGGCATAAACAGAGACATGTGTAAGTAATTAGGATTCAAACGTTAACGTACAATACATACATGACATGCACATGTGTAAGTAATTAGAGTACAAGCGTTAACGTTCAATAGATGCATCACAGGTACAGAGGCATGTGTACGTAATTGAGTTGAGAAATATTTCTCACCTGAATTTATAGAATTTAGTCTGCCAGATTCAAACACAGTGATTCAAATTTAAGTATGGTGGCATATGTCGTCCAACCAAAAAATACAGTAGAATAGGATCACATGCACTAAACTATAAACATATATACATACAGCGTGTGTGTGATTGATTGTGTATACATGTTTGTATATATATAATATGGAATGCTAAATTAAAATAAATATAATTGTAAATATTTATATATATATATATGTTGTGTATGTGTATGTATA